TCATTCGGACCACCTTCACCTGGGAGACGTCGCCCACGGCGCACAATGTGAAGCGCTACGGCTTCATGCCGTCGCACGCCCACTACCTGACGACGACGGCCTCGCAGGGGCTAGCGATACGCGGCGTTGTGACCATCGGCTGCGCGCGCCTGGAGCCCCAGGGACAGCGCGACGCTGATGACGACGCATGGTGGCTGAACCTTTATGTCATGTTCTCCCGCGCCACCCGAATGGCGGACATGTTGCCGGCACGGCCGCCGCCTCGCTGGCTGTTGGAAAGAGGTCCACCGAAGGCGGCGCAGGAAGCTGTCAAACGCTTCCAACACAACGAACAACTGACGGTGGAAAGAGCAATTGAGCTCGCCGGGAAGTGCGGGATGGTGCTGCCAGAAAACGAGAAGTAGCCGCTGTAGTTCTCTTTGGCCCGATGCCACATGCGGACGGTCGTGCCCCAATCGGTTTTCCAGCTGCCGTTGCGCAGGCCGGCTTCGGCTGCCGCCCTGATGCCAAGTGCTGACCACAGACATGCGACGTCCTGATTTTTTCAGGACGGCGCCCCTGGAACTCTAGACCCTTTCCCTGAGGCCGGTTTTTCGTCCTGAGTCGTTTTTTGGCGGTCCCGAGGCCCGGCGAGGGCCCCCAGGGGCCGAAAATAGCGAAAAACCTCCCGTCTTGATTTTTTTACGACGCCATCATGTCTGGGACAGCAAGTGTTCTTTGGCCGTAAAAACGATCGCCTGTCTCATCGGCCCGATGCCAAGTGCGGGCGGCCTCGATCGGCGGCGAGCCCCCGGCGGCTCTTTTGTCCATCTGTGGGCGAACGACACATGAGCTCGACCGCCGAGAAAAACAGGCCTCCCCCTCCTCCTCCTCCTCCTCCCCCCCCCTCCTCCTCCTCCTCCTCCTCCTCCTCGGTCTCCTGGACAGGCAACAGGATGTCTCAGGCGAAGCGCTGGTTTCAGCGCCCCGAGGATCCCAGATTGCGAGGCAATCTCACGCGGTTTGCCAAAAGTCAGGCGGAGGATCGGCTGGGGATGTCCCGGGCGAGGCGCCAGTGCCAGCGCCCCAAGGGTCCCAGACTGCGAGGATGTCTTAACCAATTTGCCTGCTTTGGCGGGCAGACTCGTCTGCGCCCAAAACACAAGGGCTCCCAACTTCGCGCTTCGCGCTGCGCGAAGCGCGAAGCGCGAATAACTTCGCGCTCTCGCGCCGCCCTCCCAAAGGGAGAATAGGAGGACGAGGAGGAGGAGGAGAAGGAACGAGGACCGCGAAGCGCGAAGCGCGAATAACTTCGCGCCCTCGAGGGAGCCCTTGAGGATGTCTTGACCAATTTGCCTGCTTTGGCGGGCAGACTCGTCTGCGCCCAAGACAAGTCGCCAGGAGTTATCAGGCGGAGCGCTGGCTCGAGCATCCCGCGAGGCTCAGATTGCGAGAGGAGGAGTAGGAGGTGGAGCTGGAGTACGGCAGGTTCGTGTCGTGACGACCCCGGCGTTGGTTTCTGACACTGCGTGAATCGTTCACCCTTGAATGATCGGCGGCTTTTCGACCGCCCGATCGTTCCATATAAGCCGATTCTGGGCCACTGGCGGCGTTCAACCTTGAACGCCCTCGGCGGGGTCGCCGCCAGTCGACACGACGCGAACCTACCGTAGGTGGTGAAGGGGAACTGGTAACTGGGGGGGGATGGCGAAGAGAAATGAGCAGAACTTGGAGGAGAAGGTGGAGGAAGAGGGAGGAAGAGGAGGAGCACCATATGTGTTTGGTATGGCCATTGTTTGGCCTAGTGTGGGTTCGGATGCGCCTGGGACGTCCTCACAATTTGCATGGGATCGACCTGGCTTGGGCCCCGTTTCGCTTGAGACGTCCCCACAAGTTGCCTGATCTGGCCGGCACCGAGAAGCCTTTTTTTGCAGGAGGCTCGCGGATCGAAACATCTATGAATGTCTTGACGATATGTCTGTGCGGTTGGGCAACGTCCGTCATGGTCGCCATGCGGTTTCAACGCAGTGGGATGCATCACGTTCTCTCCGGCATTGACTGGTTAATCACCGCATGTCGTGATGGGCGTGTACAAACCGAGGTGATGGCACGGTGTCATGACTGCCCAGTTTGGTCCACATGTAGCACGATTGCGCTACAAAATGGCGGGCGGCATGGGTGTGGACATTTCCAACACGTTATGGGTCGGCGTGCGTGCGTGTGGCGGCGTAAGGAGAATACTGGTCCGAGGTTGTAGATTGAACACTCGTAGGATGCCGTTATAGCTGGACGCACTCGGGCTGGATCCAGCCCAGGAAAGGTTCCATGAGAGCTGTATCCAGGGTCTGTAGGACTCTGTTTGAGATGTGGATCCAGCCCCACTCGCGGGATTTGTTCAAACCGGACCGAACCTCCAAACATGATTCTATCAACACTTGAACCAGCCCTGATGGGATCGTTTTAGGCCTGGATCGCGCCCGAATAGCATGCGATCAAAGCTGGATCCAGCCCCATACACCTTTGTATAATAATGCTGCGAGCTCGAGTGGGATCCCATCAGACGTGGATCGGGCCCTGACATGATTCTACCCATGCTATTCCCAGCCGAAGTAAGATCCGATGAAAGCTGGATCGAACACCAGTCGGATTCCATTTGAGCTGGGTCCATCCCTGGTGCAAATATGTTAGATCTGGATCGATCCCAAATCGGATTCCATCAGAGCTGGGCCGAGACCTCGTAGGATTCTGAAGAAGCCGGATCGACCCCCAGAGGGGTTTCACTCGAGCTGGAGCCCCAGCAAGATTATAGAGCGAACCCTCGTATATCTCCGGCCTATTGAGAATTCGATCAGGGCTAGATCCAGCCCCGGTCGGTTTCTAAGGGAGGTGGATCGTCACTGAATGAAACTCCTTCAGACATGGATTCAAGCAAGGCTGGGCTTGAATATTAGAGCTGGCGCGAACCTTTGTATGATTCTGTTAGAGCTGGATCAATCCATTATAAGGCAGTCGGAAAGCTGTATTGAGCCAGTTGGACTTTCTTGAGGCTGAATCCAGTAGAGCTGGGTCCAGCCCTACTGAGTTTCTACGACCGCTGGATCGAGCCGTTGTAATAATCGATTTGCGCTTCGTCGAACATCAAGGGGTCTGATTAGAACTGGATCAAACCCCAGTAACAGGATTTTATCAGGGCTGGACCGAACCCTAGTCAGATTGTATCAGGCCTGGAGAGACCTCTGTTGCGGTTCGATTAGAACTGGACCCATCCCAAAAGAACTCCTTTCGGCGTAGATCCAGCCCCAGTGGGATTCTACTAGACGGGGGGTGCATCAGGAGTCGGACGACCCCTAATAGCATTCTATCAGCACTGGCGCCTGTCGGCGGTGGACAAACCTCCCTTTAGTAAACCTCCCCTTAGTGAAAACGGCCTAGGACCGAAACCGACGGACCTGGACCAGCAAAAATAACGGCCGCGACGCCCTCTCGCGAACCGAAAACGGCCAATTCCTTAATCGACGTGTCAGGGTAGGAGGTCTATCAACCTCCGAGCCTGGCGCGGGCGCCAGCGACAAGTGCGCCGCCGCCGCCGATGACGTTGTCGCCGTCGTCCGCGTCGTCGTAGGCGTCGTCGTCGTCGTCGTCGTTAGCTGCGTCGTCTTCGTCGTCGTCGTCGTCCGTCGTCCGTCGTCCGTTGTCCTCCGTTGTCGATGTCGTCGTCGTCGTCGCCGCTGTCGTCGTCGATGTCATCGTCCGGCGTCCGTCGTCAGTCGCGGTCGTGGTCGTCGAGGTCGTCGAGGTCGTCGAGGTCGTCGAGGTCGTCAAGGTCGTCGAGGACGTCGAGGTCGTCGAGGTCGTCGACGTCGTCGTCGTTGCCTGGGGGGGAGGGGGATTCTGGAGCCCTCGTATAATTTCGCGGGGGGGGGCCCCAGGACCACTTAGAATCATTTTCCTTGGGGGGGGGGAGACGGGATCTCCTGGTTTCTGACCCCGCCCCCAGGGGGATTCTTTTCAGGGGGGGGCCCTGGCTTCTGACCCCCCACTCTAAACTTCTGTTCGGGCCAACGACGGTGGATCGCCCTCCCTCGAATATCGGGATCGAATCGGACCGAGCCGACTGGAGCCGACCTCGAGTGGGATCGAAATGGACGAATGGAGCCGATGCGGGTGCACACCAGGCCAGACGGAGAGCGTGACATTGAGGTGCGCAAGACGCAACGACGCCGTCAGCGGAGGGACGAGCGCCAATGATTCTCAGCACTGCCAGTCGGGTAGGGGGGGGGGGAAGACTCAGCCGGGGGCTCTTCGCCTGTAGGGGAGCGGCTATCTCACCGTGGCCAGGAACTGGGTGCTTCCCCAGACCCCCCCGCCCCTCACGTGGTTCAAAAACCAAGGCGGAAAGCAAGCTTGGGCAAATGTTCTGCCTCTGGGGCCCTTGCTGGTCCCTGGGACCGTCCAAAACTAACCAAGATAAACTGCCGGTCCTGGAGCTAAGAAAAATCACAACTTCGGAGTTCTGGGGATGGGTGGGAGGAAGACAAGCATGGGGAGGGAGGGCATGAGAGCAGCGGGGAAAGGAACAGGAAGAGATGGCCATGGCCACCAAGAAGAATGGGGGAGGGGCGAGAGGGAAGGAGGAGAGGGAGGACAAGGGCGGAAGAGGAGCCTGCATCCCCAAAGGTCAGGACACAGACAGTACCGATACAGCTGCTCCCTGCACCTCTCCCAGGGCGCGCTGTGGCCAAAATCTCGAGGATGATCTAGCCGTTGCGATGAGAGCTCTCCAGGACGAGCAGCGGTATCAACACCTCTTCCTCTTCTGACAAACTGGCCATCACTCGGACGTCCATTCCCTGTGTTTTGTTCGGTCTCGTGCGTGGTTTCTTCGCCAAATGATCAAGGATGCTCCTCCATGGCCCTCGCCGAAAAAAATGCACACGTCCGAGCCGAGCGATGCCAGGCAAAAGCGGCGGAGAAGGAGCGACGATGGCGGCGACGTCGGTGGCGAAGGTGGTCGGGCCGGCCTGCCGGACCCTGACGGAGGAGATCTGCTGCCGCAGCGAGGAGTTCATGAGGCTGCGGGCCTCTCGGGAAGGGGGCCCGCGGCACTCCTGGCCGGTATCCCTCTGGGCGCCACACATGCTCCCTCCTGCTCTGCTAGCGATAGGCCGACGGGGCGTGAAAACGACCACAGCCGCTGCTTTTCTTTGGTTGCCGCCTTCCAGCCAGCAGAAACAAAGCAGTCGTTGTGGTCATCTTCGTTAAGCTTGGCAGCAGGGAAATGACCACAACCACTGCTTCTTTTTCGGCCGGCTGGAAGGCGGCGCAAACAAGAAGCCATGGCTGTGCTAATTTTCCCGTCCCGCAAGGCCGTTCACCACAGGTGATGCGCAAGTCTGCACCGTTGGCCGTGCAACCTGGCCGAGCCGTTGTTTCTGATACCACGGCCCGCGCTCGACCGTAGGGCCGTAACGCCTGGAAAAGGCGCGCACGGGATCTCCGAGACCATGCAGCCGGTGTTGGCCCCCGCACTCTGCGGAGCAGTCCTGCACGTCTCCAGATGGCTACGCTTCTTATTGCTCGTCGAGGACGGGGGAGGGGGCAGAGAGACAAAACAAACACAAATATCGTGAACAACTACGGCTGAAAATGTGGGGCGGTGTCCGGACTCTGGGGGCACCTGACGGGACCCGAGGCCGCAACAACAACCGTAAGCATGAAACCTCCCTCCTGGGGAAGGGGTCCGAAACTGCGGGGGCCCGCGTCGCGGACCAGTCGCGGCGTCTGGGGCCTGGGAGAAGGGGGCGGAAGGAGAGGATGGAAGAGCGGTGCCAGTCGCTGACTACCTACCAGACCACCCCAACCCAACCGGAAGACCCGAATTTCGGGTTGGGGGGGGTATGGGCTCCATATGTGTTTTTCCAGTGTTCCCGGACCCCCCCCCCCACTAGAAATCGAGGGTAAATCTGAGCCTTCGGGTTGGGTTGGGGTGGTTTGGTGGGTGGTGAGTCGCTAGGGAAGGGGGGATCTCAAAAGAGAAGGCAGGGGATGGAGCCGACGTCCACCACACGCCATCTGGGAACTGTGGCATACATGGGCGACTCCAGAAACCCTGGATCTAAAAATGTTGTCGTCTCTTCGGGTCGCAATGCTTACTTCCGCCAGCTTCCGCCGAATTTCCGCCGAGCTTCTGCCGGCGTCCGCTGGTGGAAGCGGCCGCCTTTTACGTTCGCCGCCCTCTGCCGCCTTCGGCCAGGGAAGCGATGGCAGTTCCTTCGAGCCTCGAAGGCGAGGCCCTTGCTGGAACACGCCACCCGAAAACGTAGTCCAAGCTACACCGGAGCATCTGGGCACGAAATACGAACAACGTCCATTACAGTCGGGGCGTTGACCTAAGGAACCCTAAACAAGGAACGAGGCCCCTTTTTTCCATAAGTTAACCTTCGAACTCCTGTCGAAAACCTAAGGAAAGCCTGAGGCACGCTGTGAAACACTTAAGGAACGCGGAGCCCCTTCCCAACGAAAAGGGTTCTTTCTTCAGGGCCCCGACTGTAAGCGCGGACACTGGACGGCAATCGAGTCAGGGATGGCCTACGGGCGGGTGCCATATGGGAACAACATGGGGACAACTGCGTCTGAGCACCGTTTGAATGCGGGCAGCCACGACACCCGCACACATGGCCTCACGCTGCAAAAGCACTGTGGCGGCATCCATGACACGTGGCCAATCAGACATCCACTTGCAAGAGCATAGACAATAAAGATGCACGATAAGGACGCAAGGATCTTGGGAGGCCACGCCGACACTTTGCGAGCGGGGCGCGGCCAGCGGAAGCGGCCAAGGGTGGGCCGAATCGGGAACGGTGCAAGGGTAAACTTGGAAAGTCGCTCATCCTTACTATGCGGGTTGGGTGTAAGGCAAAAGTATTAGGGTGCCGACGGGCGTTGGGAAATACCCCCCAACAGTGACACATTAGACGCATACGATGCTGACTCATTTTTTCAGTAGGCAGCGTTGAGGACCGCTTCACGAACGGTTCACTCCGAAACACAGCGTGATCTCACAATTGGGTAGCACGCAGTCCTCTCGATGAGAACTCTGAGCGGGGCTCCGAAACTCGGCGATCTCGAAATCCCAACCAAGAGCCCTCACGGCAAAGTCCGTCACCGCACGGTCCTGTGACCTCGGAGTCCCGGGTCGTCCAAACTGCCGTCGGAGAACGACCGAGACCCCAAACCGTGCGGTGATCCCGGGTCAACCGGAGTTAACCGGAGTCCCTCGGGAGCGGCCAAGAGGGGGGTGTCCAAGAGGGGGGGGGCGCAAATCATGACCGGCGGCATGTGCGCGGCCCAGCGGGGGGGCCAGGGACGTAATGAAATAAGAAGAGGCGCCATGAAATCTGGGGAAATATCATGGCCCACGCCATGATATCCCGACCCCCCTAGTCATCACCCCCCTCTTTTCCGCCCCTGACCAACCCGTGCGGTGATCCTGGATCCCCACCTCATTTTTTTCAGACAGGTCAACCGAAGTCCCGACCCTTTCCACAGAGGGCGGGGTTCTCATCCCGGGTTGTTTGTTGATGGCCCTGGGGCCTGGCGAGGGCCCCCAGAGGTCGACATCGGCAAACAGAAACATCCGTCGTAATCTTCTGCGCGACTCATCAATCGTTTTGCATATGCCACACCCTCCCCTCACCAATCCGATTCCACCGCTCGTGGCCACGCTTCGTATGGACAAGCAACGCCATCGGGAATTCTGACATACCCATGGTATTTAGGAATCTATAGAGTGAGAACTGCTTGGGCGGAGCGATGAGAGTACGCCTAGGGCCCGACCCACCACGCGCTGTGGCCGCCACGCGGCCTGGGGCTGGGTCCGGCAGTAGCGACTACAGGCGGTCCACCGTCATACCGCGCGAAGAAACTCAAACTCTGAAAAAATAATTAGAATATCGCTCAGCTAGAACCTGCTAACATCTCCCCAACAAAAAAACGAATTCCAAAAACATCCAAGCCCAAACCTGCGAAAATATCAAGCCCCCAAAAAACTGCAACAAAACTCTAAGCCACAACCCGAAACAGATCAACGCCCCAAACAAACTTTTAAAGACCTGTCAGCGAAAACCTGGGCAACTCTCAGACTGTTAAAAACTATAACAAATCTCTAAGCCGAAGCCTGAAACAAACAAATCAGATCAGGAACAACTTGAAGCCGAAACTATCAAACAACTCTGACAAACAACAAAAATCAATAATAGTTTTCAAAAACTCCAAAACAACATAACCATTCACACAACACTAAAGGCTTGTTTCTAAAAAACCCAAACGCCTGAAACCTTTCTTATGAATCAAAGAAAAACAAAAGCTGACACAACATAAACAACTCTATACCAACTCTTAAAACACTTTAAACCTATCTCTGGCCGCTTGACAAACTCAAACAACAACTCTGAAACAACCATACAAGTCTGAATAGAAAACCCTGGCGGCCTCAGAAACTTAAGCAACTTAGAAGCATATCTAAAACAATTCCGGCCGTGTTTAGTTTTCAAGCGCGCACCAGTTGCTCGACTTCTCTTCTTCAAGTTTTTCTGAAGTTTCTGTTTCAAGAATTTCGGGGGGGGTGAAATTTTCCCAGGTTTTGTTTTAGATAATGTTTGCGTTTTTTTTGGGGGGGGTGAAGATTTCCCAGCTTTTGCTTTAAATGTTGGTTTCGAGTTTTTTGGGGGTTTGAGTTACCTGCTGAAGATGTCCCGATGATTTTGGGAGGTTTTCTCGGTGGACCTCCTGTAGTGCAACTGCCGAGCCTAAGTCTGGGGGTCTCCGAGGTTCTCGGCCGCTCTCCGGCAGGCGCGTTCCGAGGGAGGGGTGCGGGCCTTGGCATCCCCCAAGAAGCTGTTCGCAGTGATATTCTTCGCGGCGCGAGCACGCCGGGGACCCGACCCACCGCGCACGCGTGGCCGCCACACCGTGAGGGGTGCCCCCGAATTTCTTGGCCACCCTCCGCAGGGCGCGTCCCGAGGCGCGCGGGCCTTGGCGTCCGCCAGACATCCGTCTGCCGAGATTGTTCTTCGCGGCTCGAGCACGCCTGGGACCCGACCTAAGTCGGGCGTGTCCCCCTACAGGGGGGATTTTCGACGAAAAATAAAGAATACTTGAAATGCCCCCACATGGTCGAAAAATACTCCAAGAATAGTCCCCATATTATTTTTTGACTATTTTTGACTATTCCTCCTAGTAGAGGGACGCGCCCGACGTTAAGACCCGACCCGCCGCGCACCGTGGCCGTCACGCCGTGAAGGAAGGGTGCCCCCGAACCCTCTCGGCCGCCCACCGGCGGGCGCGTTCCGAGGGGGAGGAGGAGGAGGAGGAGGAGGAGGAGGAGGAGGAGGAGGAGGAGGAGGAGGAGGAGGAGGAGGAGGAGGAGGAGGAGGAGGAGGAGGAGGAGGAGGAGGAGGAGGAGGAGGAGGAGGAGGAGGAGGAGGAGGAGGAGGAGGGAGGAGGAGGAGGAGGAGGAGGAGGAGGAGGGGGGGGGGGGCGGGCCTTGGCGTCCCGCGGGGCGCAGACCTCCAGGCCTGCCGCCTCGCGAGGGGAGGGGGGGGCGGGAGATCTTTTTGGTGCTCTCTACTCGGGCGAAGAGAGCTATGCACATGCACCGATCTTGGCCTGGCCCATCCTGGGCCCAGGATCGGTGCATGTGCCCTCCTGGCCAAGGCAGGATGGCGTATGCACCGATCCTGGGCTCAAGGTGGGCCTGGCCAGAATCGGTGTATGTGCATTGTTCTCTTTCCTCGATCTACAAGAGTGGAAAAGGAGAAGACGGAGCGGACAGCACCACGACATGCCGATGGCCCCCAGAACGCGTGCCGGCGCCAGCGTGCGGTTGTCCACCGACGCCCTTCAGACAGGACGCAGGGGTACAGTGGAGGTCGGCACAGGCGATGTGCTGCCGGCGCAGTCGAATGGGGTACACACATGGGGCCGTCACACGTTCTGAGGATCATCAAACATAGTACCTCCGTGAAGCGATCCTGAGTGCCCTGCCAATGCTGGGGACGTGCGAGACCTGCTTGGCAGGGACGTGCGCACCGACAAGCTGCTGCGTACGGCCGCGGAAGAACGCGCTCCACCTTCGGGGGAGCCTGTCTGTCCCACCGCACCGCGATCTACGTCGAATCCGCGTCGAATCTGCGTCGACTGGTCGAGTCCGCGCCGGATCCACGTCGAGTCCATGTCGAGTCCAAGCCAAGTCCGCGTCGAACCCGCGTCCGGCAAAAGTAAAAAGCGCAACGTACGGACAGACCCCCCAAGCAGCGTAACAAGAGGACGCCCGGGGGGCACCGGCGCGAGGCCGGTTCTTAGACGGCGGGGGAAGGGCGAGGCGGCACGGGACCTGAGAGCCGAACGTTGTGCATTTGTTCGCGCCGGGCGTGTTCGCCCTATTTCGGTCCCCGGATCCCTCACAGATCGGTCCGGCTCGAAAAATGCGTCAAGAAGATGGAGTCTGGGGTTCTGGTCAAGACTTTTCGCGATGCTGGATGCTTGTCGCAACATTGGTTCCTGACTGGCGGCGTTGCCGCGTGAAGAAATGAAACATGGAAGAAGCTTCGCATTGCCACGCAAGGGAGCAATCTGCGACCTCGCTGGGGGAGACATCGGGCCCAAACCAGGATCGTCCGAGGGGGGAACGACCCATGACGGCCTACTCAACAGGAAGAGCGAGAGGAGGGGAAAAGTTCCAAGGTCCACGAAGTTCCAGACCCGCGTGTGGCTTCCCAAAACTTCAAGACCATCCTCACACACCCAAGGCCCCCCCCGCCTCTCATGCCAGACGCCCCCCCCACCTCTCCCGCCCCAGCGCCATCCGAGATTACTCCTCGAAGACTTACCTTGGGGAACGAAGGGGACCCGACAGAATGAGGGCCGAGTAGATGAGGCCAGAGAATCATGCTATGTCGCCGATGCATCGCTGACACATCGGCGATGCATCGGCGACTTCGGCGATGCATTAGCGAGGTCGGCGTGGAGGAAACTGGGCTACACATCGCACCGCACCGCCGCAGCATCGGCAGCACGGCTGCTCGAAAGCTCACTGCTGGCTCCTACGACCGAACGCGCCGGCGTTAAAAATCTCTGTGACGCACAATTTTGCTGCCCACTCACGTCCCCGAAGAAGAGCCCCACACCGATCAAGGTTCCGCCATCGCGCTCCCTTTGTGTTCAACAGCCCCACGACACGGCCCAAAAGGCCCCCCAGGGCGCCTCCCGAGGGAGCCTTCCAGACGAGAGCCCAAGAGGCCACCTAGACAACCCAATCGGCGCCCGAGGTGCGCCCAAGAGAGTATAAAGTTAGGTCGGGCATGTCCCCCTGCAGGCGGGTTCTGGATGACAAATGAAGAATACTCCACGCAAATACTCCAAAAATAACCAACCTGCTCCAAGAATCGTCCCCAGAGTATGCTTTGACTATTTTTGCATATTCCTCAAGTACAGTCATCGGCCTGAGCTTATGAACGATACATAAGGAACGAAGCCCCTTTTTTATCCCAAAGAATAACGCATAAGGAAGGATACATAATACATAACGCACACGGAACTGTAAACAACGCATGTACACCTAAGGAACGACCGAGCCCCTTTTGAAAAGCAAGTGTTCCTTGTTCAAGCCGCTCACTGTAGAGGGACACGCCCGACTGAAGTCTGGAGTCTAGGGCGCTCCTTAAGACGGCACAGGACGCCCTGGAGAGGAGGAGGAGGAGGAGGAGGAGGAGGAGGAGGAGGAGGCCGCCGCAGTGGCCTGAAGGGCCGTCAAGAGGCCCCCAAGACGGCCCAAGAGGCTCCCAAGACGGCCCGAGAGCGCCCACCGAACCGGCGCCCGAACTGCAGTCATCGGCCTGACCTGAGGAACGATCAATAAGGAACGAAGCCCCTCTTTTATCCCAAGGAATAGCGCAGAAGGAGCGATAAATAAGACATAGCGCATAAGGAACTGTAAACAACGCATGCAAGCCTGAGGAACGACCGAGCCCCTTGTGAAAGGTAAGTGTTCCTTGTTCAAGCCGCTCAATGTAGAGTCAGCGTGCAGGCGGCGCCCCCACATCTGCAATTCAGAGAGGGGCAGTACGAATCTCAGACAGGGGCCAATCTGGGCCATGACTGCGTGAAGGCCTCAAGTAAAATGCCTCGCTGGCACCCCTGAAGGGGGAATCTGAAAATTAGTGGAAGGTGGGCAATCTGTGAATCGCGGGTGTGGGACCGCCGCCCTAATTAGCGCAAACAGCGACTCTCCCATCGCCTCCAGATCCACCTGGCAGCAGGCCCGACCATCCTGCAAAAGAACAGCACCGCGATGGCCCCCGTGAACGCCGCGAGATGGTTCCCATACAGCCCTGGGCCGACCCGACCCCACCGGGCAACCTTTCCAGGACCCAACGGGCATCCCTCCGGTTCCTCTTCGCAAAGCTCCGGGAACGCCCCAGGACTGCCCCAAGCCCCCCCGCGGGTAATTTCCGAGGGGCCATATGGGCCCCCGCTTGGCCTGTGGAAACCGCCCGCGGGGGCCGGGGCCCCCCCGGGACGCTGCTTGGGCTCCCGCTCGGTGCTGCTCGGGGAGGCCTCCAGAATCGGGGATGGACAGACCCCCCTTAGCAAAACGTGGTTTAGTGAAAACGACCTGAGGCCCAAACCTGGCGGGCGCAAGCCTGGAAAATAGCGGCCACGGCGCCCTCTCGAGAACCGAAATCGGACAATTCACTAATCGACGTGTCACTGTTGGGGGTTCTGTCCACCCCGACAGAAGTTCCCCACCTCCGCGGCGGGGGGGCCCTCCAGTGCCTTCCCATGCGCCGGCCCCAGGGTGCCGCGTCTGCAGAGCGTCACCGCAGGTCCTGCAGGCCACCGGAGAGCCCGGCAGCCCAGACGTGCCCGAGCCGCGGAGCCCAAGAGAGCCAGGAGCGCCAGCAAGATTATCGGAGCCCACGGCATCGCTGGCAAGGGGGGTCCAGCGGCGCCGGCCGAACGCCGTCAGGTGGAGAAGCGGGACCCGAGACCCGAACTCAGAAGCTCCCTGGGCGTTACGATGATAAGCAATAGAGATACAAGTAGCCCTAGCCCTTTACAAGGGGACCGAAGTTAGGAGGGCGAAGAACAGTAGGGATAGAGATCTTTGCTGCAGTTGTGTCAGAGCAAACCGCCCAGATCTAAAATCCTTAATGCGAAGAGGAGGAGCTAAGTGAGGCCACGTCTTCATCGTCTTATTCGGGTTAGAACTTCTTTTGTTCTTGATAATACGAGGCCCCCACGAGGCGTCCGAAAGGGGTCCGAAAGACGCCCACTATGGTCCACGGATCCCCGGGATGGCCTGGCAATGCCCACATTACCGTGTGAAAGGGGCCCCGAATTATTTCCAGCGCAGCCCGCGATGCCTTCGACGAGACAGGGGGCATCCAAGGAGCCACAAGAAGAACGCATCAAAGCGGCGATCAACTCCAGATCGGAACACGCGACGCCGACGAGATCATATTTGACTGCGCGCGCCATCCCAAAAAAGAAATGTAACAGCCAGGATGATTGAGCACAAGACTAACAACAATTGGGCAATAGACGCGGGTGACGGGATGCGATGGTGGGAACGCGCAAAGCGTCTATAGAATGGCGACGCAAGCGCAAGCCCCTGGAACAACAGGAAACGCACAGTGGCCCCAGACTCGGGCAGGAAAACGGGAAACAACTTGCGGTTGATGCAAGGATGCGGCAGCAACAAAGCAACACAAATGCTGCATTGAGTAGGTGATCGTGAGCTGAGAAAATGCGCTCCCGCCGAGGCCCTGCGACGATGACAATTACGCCAGTCACGTCGCGCCCCCCTGAGTGCGACGACTCTTTCGACCCCGCCCCGCAAGGCAATCCGAACATCAAGCAACGTGGACACGCGGAACGCATACTGCCTACATTCCACGCGCCGTTATCCCGCGCATGCCCTCGTTAATGCATCACGAGCTACAGTAGTTTTATAAATTTGGAGGTGTATGGCTATTGCGCAATAGCCATTGTTGCCCTCCCCCCTCCTCTGCCCTCCCCTCCCCTCTCTCCTCTTGCACATTGTCCCACGAACGTACTGTCTTCCGACGACCAGCACCGCCCTACGCTCAGTGTCTGCGATCTAGCGCGCCTGCATTCGCGATGATTGGTTCAGATGTTTCCGATGGCCTTCATATATTGTTTGCCAATACTTGAATAGCTAATCAATGCCGCTAAAGACCTAAACCTGAACACGCAGGACCCTACTTTGCTATTTGGGCGCCGTGCAAAGGAAGATCTCTGCAGGCAAGTGCTGACTAACGTCTTGGAGGCCCACATTGGCGCTGAAGCGTTGGAGTGTGAAGCATGCAACTGCAAGCACCCTAGCTCGCCACACCCTTTTCTCTGGGACATTCCTGCCAGGCTGGAGCACTGAAGTAGTGAACGCCTGCTGCTGCCATGTTACCCCCCGCTTCGTCGGCATCTTCCATGGCTTCACCACCCAGGCCCTCCACCAGCGCGCACGCCAAGCGGGGTGTCCTCCAGTCGAGGGCGTCCCTCACGGCATACGCACGGGACCAACGAGCGGGCCGCGTGCAAATTTCCGATTTGAGAGTAATATGCAGCCTCTCCAGACCTTCGATGCACCGGCTCCCTCAAGCTCCTTCTGCAAAGCGAGGGCATACAGCGCCCTTTTTCTTGACGCTCCTGTGCCCTCTCTCGGTAGCCTGGTGCCCAGCGCGTCCTGGAGTCCTTTCCAGCACCGCTGCAGACTCATGGGGCGGCCTGCTGCCAGTTGGTGGGTCCTCTCCTCCTGGATCCCCTGAACCACAGATCAACTTCTGGAGCCTCCACGGGAACTTGGACGACACCCGAGGGCCCTCATCCCCGTCTTCAGCGCGTCGCCTGTTCACCCAGAGGTCCCCCTCCTCCTCGAGACTCGGCCGCTGCACCAATCCTGGGGTGCGCCGTGGCCGGACCTCCAAGGGAATTTCCACACGTGGCGGCGAGAAGCCGCCGCCGGGAGGGCCGGAGAGGGCGAAAAGCATCAGCAGACCTGGAGTTTGGACGCCCGAAGTGGGTACGGAAAAAGTGGGCACAATGCCCAACAACAAATGTTGTCCCAAACCAACAGCGGCCGCTGTTGGGCAGGCGGCCAGGCGGCGAGAAGCCGCCGGGAGGACCGAAGAGGCCTCTTGGGGCGTTTTGGGGGGGGGGGCCACCTTGGCGTGCCCAGGGCATTTTTTTGAGCGTCTTGGGTGCCTCTCGGGGGTCCCAAGGAGACCTCTTGGAGGCTCTCTTGGAAGCCTCTTGGGGGCCCTTTGGGCGCCTCGTGGAGCCGTCTGGGTGCCTCTTGGGGCCCTCTTGGGGCGCTGTTGGGAGCTTTAGGAGGAGCATCAGCAGACCTGAGGGCTCGAACCTCGACCCTCCTCGCGGAGTGGCCGGATGAGGACGCGTGCCGAGATGCTTTCTTTGCTGTCCGTTCCATGAGAGCCTGCGTGGCCCCCGGCACTGCCCAATTTGGGCCTGATTTGGACCAGATTTGGAACAAATGTGGACCCGATTGGGACCAGACTTGGACCGGATTCGTGGGGGCTAGGAGAACGAGGAGGCGGAGGGGGAACAGGAGGGGAGAGGAGGAGCAGGAGGAGGGGCCAAATGCGGCCCCCACGCTGTCCACATGCAGGAAAAGCTGATCTCAATGTCGCCGCCCAGGGCTCCCGTGAACAGACATCGAGGCTTTCTTGTTGCGGCGCGCGCAGCACTCCCAGTCCAGCGGCTCTGGGCGCGTCGAGGCGGTGCCGCTGGACCGCGGCGGCCGGCTGGCCGGGTGCCCTCTCCCTGGACGGCTCGGGGCCGTCCAGAGGGCTGCCGCAGAGCTGCTTGTAGGGAACCGAACTCTATACACCGATGCCTTTCTCTGGTCCCGCACTGAGATTCGCACAAGAAAGCGGATGCTGGTGTATACGGCATCCTGGTGTATGCATGTTTTGTTGTTTCCACGGGAGAACGGGGGAACAAGTATACACCACACCACCCCGACGTCGTCCCCGACCCTAGAAAAGTCCTGGGATTGAAAAACCGCCCGCCACTGGTAATGTATATGCTCCAGTTTCCGAGTTTGGTCAAAAGCGTCGCAGCTCTGGAAGCGGCGAGGGAGGCAGGCTGTGAGATGCGGCTGCGCGTGCACGTGCCCGTCGGTCGGACGGAGTGCGCAGAGCAACGGAGGAGGAAGGTGTTGGAAGTAGATCGGGCCTCTGCCCGCACCCTGAACAGGAAAAAAAACACTCGATGACTGGGGTCTGGGGATCTAGAACTGCCCTTAGGTCGGGCCTCTCCCCCTACATGGGGGCCTTTGGACGAAAAATAAAGATACCCAAACATATTCAACAACCATTCAAAAATAGGCAAAAATCGCCCCCTGACTATTTTTACAAGCCCGACTTAAAAATACCCACGTTCAGCAACCGGCGAGAGTAAGTCAGCGGTGGATAAACCTCCCTTTAGTAAACCTCCCCTTAGCGAAAACGGCCTGGGACCGAAACCGGCGGACCCGGACCCGCAAAAACGACGGCCGCGACGCCCCCTCACGAACCGAAAACGGCCAATTCCTCAATCGACGTGTCAGGGTAGGAGGTCTGTCCACCCCCGAGAGTAAGAGTGACCTCCAGTGAGCGGCCCGTCAATCGCTGCTTTGGCGCTGCGACACCGGCGGCCTGCATGCTTGGGCTTAACCCACCCGCGCCCTCCGACCGCCGCACACCAAAGAGCACTCTGTGATGCGCCTGCTTTCCACCACAACCACCACAAGTAGGAGGGGGGAAGGAGGAGGAGGAGGAGGAGGAGGAGGAGGAGGAGGAGGAGGAGGAGGAGGACCCTCTCCCCCTCCAACTTATGGAGGTGGTGGTGGTGGTGGAAAACAGGCCCATCACTCTGGCGAAATGTCACTCCTCTTCCGCGTAGCCGTGGGATGGTGGATCTGTCAAGACGAGCAGGACGACAAGCAGGCAAGGACAGGCTCGACATTGGTCGTCCTCCGACGCCGTGTTTTTTTCCCACATCGTGGGCCCACGAAGGTCGACACCCCTTACTGGGAACAGTCTTTTCGTCCCGAGCCTGCTTTCACGGCCCCAGGGCCTGGCAAGGGCCCCCCACAGGGGCGAGGAAGAGAAACAAGATTACGTCAAATTATGTTGGTTTAGTTTGGTTTCCTTCGTGCGAAGACCTCGGGCCGCAGATCCCAACCGCTCGCAGCACCACTCCGCCGACACCCTGGCTTCCTGGGACCTCTGTTCGAGGGACTCTCCACATTGCAATTTCTCGCCTCGATCCCACCCCGCTTTAATCCTCCCCGCCGACACCCCAACTTCCTGGGACGTCTGTGCTTGGGACTCCCCATCCTTCAAATTCTCGCCCCGATCCAGCACCGTTTTGAGCGCCTCCCCCGACACAACCTCGAAGGTCAAACCTCGAACCTCGCGAAGGATACTTGCGGACTGCACAGCCTGAAAAGGGTGGCTCGTCCCTGAATGGTTAAGGCCAACCCTCCACAACGGCCGAAGGAATCCTGCAATCACAACCCTTCACCTGTGAGGTGCAAAAGTTGGCACCCAGATGTGCAGCACGATGTAGAAATCTTGGATGGCATGGGGACGACACGCATCACTGGGATTCGGGGAAAGGCGGAAAGCAAAAGGTCGGGCGAACATGAGAGGTGGTAAAGGGGAGACGTCACCTCCATGGTTGCGTGTGCAACTCGCGCCAAGGGTGGCGGAACCTCGAGGAGGAGGATGATGATGATGAGGAGGAGGAGGAGGAGGAGGAGAGGGTCTCTCTTAATGCTGGTCTAACGGAAAGGAGGAGGAGGCGGAGAAGGAGAAGGAGGCGGAAGAGGAGAGGGTCTAGAGGAGGGAGGTAAGGACGAGGAGCCCCCTCAGGCGGGAGGGGCCCGCCGCCTGCGCCGCGCCCTCCTCCTCCTCCTCCGCCCAGGGCGCCGCGCCCTGCCCGCAGTCGAAGGACAGGGCGGGGGCCTCACCGCCCGCCCGGCCCGCCACCCCAGGAGCGCACGGCGTGGTGGTGTTCGTGCGATGGTGGCTACTGCGCCGCCGCCGCCGCCGCCGCCGCCGCCGCCGCCGCCGCCATTGTCGCCACCGCCGCCGCCGCCGCCGCCCCCGTCGTCGTCGCCGCCGCCGCCGCCGCCGCCGTCGTCGTCGTCGTCGTCGTCGTCGTCGTCGTCGTCGTCGTCGTCGTCGTCGTCGTCGCCATCGTCGTCGTCGTCGTCGTCGCCTGCGTCCTTGGAACGAACGACTTGGCGGTTACGGTCGGGGGCTATTGTTTCGCGTGTCGCCGCGGCGGCCCCAGCGACACGCTGTGCCGTGCGAGCAGATCAAGTGTCGCTCCGCTCCGCGGGGCGGGAGCCCTTGAAATCTCGGGGCGCTGACGCTTGGGATTGGGAAACAAGGATGGCGTGTCGGGCCGAAGCGCGGTGGGCCAGAACCAGCGGAGCGACGCGCGAAGCCAGAATCCCCGACCGCACCACCGTCTGCTCGCGCAGTTGGAAACAGCCCAAGCTTTCGGGCCGGCGGCGCCCTGCATCCAGGCTGCGGTCGTGGATGCGGCAGGGCTGCTGCGGTGCAGCTGGGGCACGCAGGCGGCGGGCGAGGCCGGGAGGAGAGAAGGGGGGGCGAGGGCCGCGTACGGCGGGAGCGCCCTCAGCGCGTGAAGCTTTTCGGGGCGTGCTGGAGGCAGGAGCTCAGGCAGACCAACCTGTTTCGCAGAGGGCATGGTGCTGGGCCGCTTGTGCAGACGGCCCAGGCAGGGCGTCCGCCCCCGCTGACTACCACCATTTCGGGCCTCCAAGCGGTGGTCCGGAACTCGTGTTCGGCGAGTACTCCTAGTGGTGGAACCTGTTTGTGCACACTGGCTCGACCACGAGCGCACCCGCTAACTTTTCCGAACTTCAAACGTTCGCCCCTTCCCCGTCGATCTTAAACAATCCAGCCGGACGATCCAAGCACGCCCCCCTCAGATCCGAGCGTCCCGAAGAACACGGGCCTGACGGTCGTTCGTGGTTCTCGGCCGCTGGGGGCCCTTTCCCAGCCCCCCGACGGTCAGGAAACGACTCAGGATGGAACGCCGGCCCCAGAGAAAAGATAGGTCGAGCCGTACGTGGGCCTGCGCCACGAACAGATTGTGCCGTCGGAGGGGAGGATCGATGCAACCTGTTGTCAGTATCGGGCTACTTGATCGTCCTTTGCGGGGCTCTTCTGAGCTAAGCTAACCACTGACTGTGCGCACGCACAGAGGGTATGGGAGCACTGCCGCAGCATGAGCAAACCCTCCTCCCGAGGAGGTTGGCCAGATCTGATATGTGCTCCCTCCTCCTCCACCTCCATGAGAGCTGCGAGCTGCGGGCTGTGCCACCACAAGTGGTCGAAGCCCTCCTCCGCCGCCTCCGCTCCCTCCTCCAACCCCTCCTCCTCGTCCTCCTCCTCCTCCTCCTCCGCCTCTTCCTCCGCCTCCGCCCTCGTCCCTCCTCCTCTTGCTCCTCCGTCGCTCCTCCTCCTACTCCTTCTCCCCCGCCTCCCATCAGATTTTGGCGTCAAGAACAAATAGCGACGACCGTATGTTTGTTGTGTTTGGAGGTTTCATTGGCCCCGGGACTATCAAGAAACAGCCCGAAACGAAAAGCCAGCCAGCCCTGGGGAACGGGCCGACGTCCCGTGGGCCAGCGAGGAGGACAGACACTTGTCGCCGCAGCTGCGTGCGAGGAGGATCAACGAGGATTTCCTCCCCGCACACAACCGCGGCATCACGTTGGCCGCCCTGGCGCGGGCCTTTTTCAGTGGTAAATCTGCTCCTGACCCTGGGTCTCCGGTTCCGTCCCCCATCCTCCTTCGCCGCCTTGTCCTCCTCCACCTCGTACGCCGCCCTCCGTCTCCCCCGCCTCAAGGCAAACGGGGAACTAGGATGATAGAATGTGAGGGGGAGGACGAGGATGATAGATGGTGTGGGGAGGAGGACGAGAAGGAGTCGAACGGGTGTGGATCCAGATCAGAATCGGGCACGTGGAAAGCATAAACACCATCTCCTTCCTCGTCCAGGGAATCAAACCCCGTCCTCCTCCTCCTCCTCCTCCTCCTCCTCCTCCTCCTCCTCATCCACCCAATTTCGCTTCGTCCTTCATCGCTTGCCTCGTCCCAGGTCCTGCCGTTCATCCCTGCTCGCTCCTCGTGCCTCCCTCCTCCCCTTCCCACCAGCACCGCTTCCCCCCGCTCGTCTTCCCTCTCCTCCTCGACCTCCTCCTCCTCCTGCTCCTTATCTCCCCCCCTCCTCGTCACTCTGCTTCGTTTCTATTTCGCTTTAACTCATGTGTACGCAAGTTTCTTGGTTAGCCCCACTCCACTACCCAACGGTCATTTAACCGACCTCGGCGGGTGGTCCACTCAGACCGATCGAACATTCACTATTTCCACATCGACATGCTGATTTCAACATTCACAATTTGCCGTCGGCGTTTGCAGAGTGTGCGGCAGAAGTTGAACGTGGCGCGCATCGCGCACCACAGGGGAAGGTTTTGCTCCCCCGCCGCAACGCCTCGCCCTCCGCCGTGTCCTCGTCATCATCCTCGTCGTCCTTGTCATCATCCTCGTCGCCCACTTCGCCAGCTCCCTCCTCGCCCTCCGCGTTCAATTTTCTCGCCGCCCTCCTCGCCCTCATCCTCGCCCTTCTCCCCCTCGCCCTCCTCATCATCATCCTCCTGCTCTCTTCGGCTACGCGCAAGAGGGGCCCAAGGCAAAAGTGACGTCTGGTGCGTTACTTCGGGGTGCGCAGGGCGTCCCAACCCAAGCACGCAGGTGCGATCACGAACCCAGCCCAACTTTTCACGGGGGACCCCCGTGGGCTCTTACCAAAGGTCGCTCCAGCGGAACGTCCCTCTTAGGTGAGGTCAATTCCCCTCCTGCCTCCTCCCCACAAGGACAGAAACATCATACGGCAAAAAACCCACGCGCGCCCAACCGCGCACGCACACTTTCACGCCACCACCGGATGAGGTTTGACGATTGCGAATTCACAGCTCCTGGATATTTCAACACAAGAGCCCGCCCATGAGGCTCAGGGCCTGGGTACTTGGTTGGGGCCGCGGATGCTGTCGCCAATCAGGTATAGGGCGGATACTGCCGAAACAACTTTGTTTTTGGTTATTCACCTCACACATGCGGCAGACAGTCTGCCCGGTCCGCGCGGCGGCTTTTGACTGGCCCCTCCCTTCTCCGATCGACCGACCAGCCTCCTCGCACTCCATCCTCCCTCCTTCCTCCTCCCCCGCACCTCCTCGGGGAAGTTGAAGGGGCCCTGGGACACACAAATAAATAGACACAAATAACAGGATCCCCAAAATGTTTTTTCCTATTTGTTCGGGGTTACCGTCTTCCCCCACACTTCCCATAGTTCTCCCTATGTTCTGGGGAATCGACGATTCATTGTGTCTGTGTGTTTGTTCCCCTCCTTCCTCCTCCCCCGCACCTCCTCGCCATCGCTCGGACGTCCCTTCCCTGTGCCTTTTTCGGCTTCGTGCGTGGTCTTTTCGCCAAATGATCAAGGCTGCTTCTCGAAGGTCCTCGCCGAAAGAAGAATGCACACGTCCAGGGAGGAGGGGGAGGAGGAGGAGGAGGAGGAGGAGGAGGAGGAGGAGGAGGAGGAGGAGGAGGAGGAGGAGGAGGAGGAGGAGGAGGGGGAGGAGGAGAGGAGGAGAAGGAGGGGGAGGAGGGGAGGAGGGGGAGGAGGAGGGGGAGGAGGAGGAGGATGCTTCTCGATGGTCCTCGCCGAAGGAAAAATGCACACGCCCGAGCGATGCCAAGGCCTCCTCGGGAAAGTGCCGAGGCCGCGGCGGAGAGCTTCGCGCCGACGGCGGCCAGGTCCAGGCCGCAGCTGGAGGCCAGGTCCAGCGAGGCGCCCCTGCCTCGGCCGAAGGATTGCAAAACAAACCCAGGACTGCAACGAAGGATTGCAAAACAAAAAAACCCGAAGGATTGCAAAAACAAAAAAACGCAGCTGGATTGCAAAAAACCCGCCGCTGGATTGCAAAAAAAAACGCAGGGTGTTTTTGCAATCCTTCGCAGCTGGAGGCCAGGTCCAGCGAGGCGCCCCTGCCTCGGCCCGGCGGAGGGCTGCGGGGGCCCCGTTGGCGACAGCGAGGGGGCCACGTTGGCGGCAGCGGGGCCACGAAGTACAGTCATCGGCCTGACCTAAGGAACGATCCACAAGGAACGAAGGCCCTTTCTATCCCAGGGAATAACGCATGAGGAACGATGAATAACAGATAGCGCATGAGGAACCGTAAATAACGCATGTCAAATCTAAGGAACGACCGAACCCCTTTTGAAAAGTAAGTCTTCCTTATTCAAGCCGCTCACTGTAGGGACACGAACTCTATACACCGACGCTTTTTCCGACCCTGCGCCGAAATTCGCACAGGAACGTGGATCCTGGTGCATGCGGGATCCTGGTGTATACATGTTTCGCTGCTTCCCTGGGAAAACGTGGGAACAGTATACACCACACCACCCCGACGACGTCCCCGACCCTCACAAAGTCTTGGGAGTGAGAAAACAACCCGCCACTGGTAATGTATATGTTCCAGTTTGCGACGAAGGGCACGCGTATGGGGCCACGACAGGCGCGAGCGATCGGGGGCCACGAAGGGCATGAGTAGACTGGGCCGCAGAGGGCAAGGACGGGGTCCCCGAGGGCAGCGACGGGACCACGAAGGGTAGCGATGGGGGCCACGAGAAGGCGACGGGGAAGCCAGAGCGGGAAGGAGGGGGCCACGAAGGCCAGAGACGCTGTCACGACGAGGGCAGGACGGGGACAAGTCCCGATGAGGCTCCGCCGGGAACATCCGACGAGAGCCGCCGGGTATGCCCGAGGTCGTGGGCGGGCGCCGCGACCGCGCCAGAGCGTCCCAGGGCGCTCCGGCGGCGCTCCGGATGAGCGCCCTGGAGCGAGGCGTCCACATCCCAGGGCGGCATGTCCGAGCTGCGCACCCCCGCCGGGGCGCGTCGCGGGAGGAGCACGCCCTCCTACCACTTCGGGGGGAAGGAGGGGGCGCCGAGGCGCTCGGGCAGGTGCGGCGGGAAGGAGGGGACGACGAGGACTTCCGGGGGCGGCAGGGGAAGGAGGGGCCGACTCCCGCCGGAGCGGAGCAGCTGCGCCGCCGTGCCTCTGGGCACGGCGTGCGCGTGTCCTCGGGTCCTTCGCCTCGTTCCCTTGGCCATCGCTCGGACGTCCATTCCCTGTGTTTTTTTTTCGGTTTCGCGCGTGGATTCTTCGCCAAATGATCAAGGATGCTCCTTGCCTCCAAGACGCCCCAAAGATGCCTCCGATAAGCTTTCCCAAGAGGGTCCCCCGCAGGCCCAAAAGCGTTAATTTTCCGAGGTGGTTGAAGGATTGTGGCTCTCTCGCCCTGGCGGCTCCCCGAAGCTCCAGACGGCCCTGGAGGCCCCCAAGACCGCCCCAAGACGGCCCAAGATTTTTTTGTTTTGTTGGTGGTGCCCCTAGTTCCTCAGGTTTGCTCAGGTTCCTCAGGTTTGCTCAAATGCCGGCGTGCCGAATGCATGCTGCCAAGACGGCCCAAGAGGCCTCCAAGAGGACCCCAAAACGGCCCGACAGGGCCCCAAGAAAGCCCAAGAGGCGCCCAAAACGGCCCAAGAGGGGGCCCAAGACGGCTCCAAAAGGAGCCCCAGAGAGGGAGCACGAACCGAAAGTCCGAGCCCCCCCGCCCGAAGAGGCGCCCACGGCTTCAAGATGCGCCCAGGAGACCCCAAGAGGCCCCCGAAGAGGCCCCCATAAGGCCCAAAAGAGGCCCCCAAACGGCCCCCAAGAGGCGTCCAATCTGCCTCCAAGAGGCCCCCGAGAAGCCGCCCACGAGATCCCAACGAACATCGAGAAGGCTTCATCCCCACAACCCAGGTACGGTGGCGGGATGGGCCGAAGGCCATTAGATCCGCCGCCCCCTGTTGATTCATCACAGGGGTGCCTGGCGTGCTGAACCCTTTCGGTTTTGGTTTTGGTTCTTTACCGAAAGAACTCATAAGAACTCCCCCTGGGGCTTCGGCTCGTCCCGCCAGCCACCCGAAAAGATTGCCCAGGACCTCAGCCCCCCCAAAAATCCTCCAATACGGCTCAAGATGGCCTCCAGGATGGCCACGTTGGCCCAAGATGGCCTCCAAGATGGTCTAGGTCTAAGATGGCCTCCAAGTCCGCCCAAGATGGTCCAAGGCGGCCTCCAAGACTGCCCAAGAGAGTCCAAGATACCTCTAAGGTCGCCCGACAAGCCTCCAAGACGGCCCAACACGACCCAAGATGCCTCCAAGAGGTCCTCCAGGAGGGCCCGAAGAGGCCAAACTCATTGATTATCGTTCAATGTTTGAAGGATTTGGGCACTTCTTCTCGGCGTTCCGACGGCTGAAAACGGCCCAAGAGGCCCCCAAGATCGCCCCAAGATCGCCCACGAGGCCTCCAAGATGGCCCCATGACGGCCCAAGAGGCTCCCGAGACGGGCCCAAGAGGGCCCCAAGACGGGCCAAGAGGCCTCCAAGACGCCCAAATGGCTTCCAAGACGGCCCCGAAACGCACCAAGAGGGCCCCAAGCCAGTTCAGAGAGGCCCCCAAGACGGCTCCCGACGGCGTCAGACGGGCCAGGAACGCCCTAAAACAGCCAAAGAGGCCCCCGAGAAGTCCCAACAAGGCCCCAAGAGACCCTTAGGAGGCTCCAGGAGAGCCCAAGATAGCACCAACGTGGCCTCCAAGACGGTCTCAAGATGGCCCAATCGAGCCCAAGAGTGCCTCAAGAGGCTCCGAAGAGGCATCCTCCCCTTTCTCCATTTTCCTCCTTCTCCTCCTCTTCCTCTTCCTCCCCCACGTGTTCCCCGAAGGCTCTACAAACCGACTCGGAGAACACATGGTCCGATAGCCTCGCCCCCCAAGATGCCTCCAAGACGGCCCAAGATGCCTCCAAGACGGCCCAACATGGCGTCAATATTGCGCCAGATGGCCCAAGAGGCCCCCAAGAAGCCTCCAAGACGGCCCAAGAGGCCTCCTCCTCCTCCTCCTCCTCCTCCTCCTCCTCCTCCCTTTTCCTTCTTCATCCCTCTCCTCCTCTTTCTCCTCCCCCACCGTGTTCCCCGAACGTTTTCCAAACCGACTGGGGGAACACATGGTCCGATAGCTTGGCAGGCCTCTGGCCACAACGTTCGGCCACATAACGTTAGGCGCTTCCGAAATGGCAGGGGGCGGCGGTGATTCGCCGTAGGCGTGTTCGATAAGCTTGATTGCAACGTGTTGCGCGCATTATACAGCGTTCGATATTCAGTGATACCGCGGTGCTCGATGTCAGACGGCAAATGCGAAACACCAAAGGCGGGAGGAGGCATGCTGGAAATGCGTCCTGCTTTGTTTTGCACGCCGGACCTTCCGACATTGCATCGCGGGTCAAACAGAGTCTCCCTGCATGCCTCCTCCCACTCATCCCCTCCTCCCTCAGGGGCAACGATAAAGAGGCATAGGTTCAGGGGGATAGCCCAAACCCGCTCAGGACCGTGCGGATGGGTTGTCGGTGGCCTCTCGCCGATCCATGGGCGATGTATTACCGATTCCAGCTCGATGTTCCCCCCCCTGAGCTGGCCCAACCTAACGTTGTCCCTCACGATGAGGGGGGGCTTGGGGTGGCGGTGGCCTCACCATCTCGCACGCCGCCCGAGGTTGTGCGGCGAATCTGCGGGCCTAGGCATGGTTGCCCGCCCCACCACTCCGAGGAGGAGGGAGGAGGAAGGACGTCACGAGCGGCGAACGTATCCGTATCCGCACCCTCGCGGTCTGGATTCCCGGGCGCGGGGCACCCGTGAAAAAGCACCCCGTATCCGCAGGGTCTCGGTCCGGAAACCCAGCCCGCGAGGGCTTTGACGCGGATATGTTTTTCGCCCACGAGGACGAGGTGGCGGAGGTACTCGGCATCTGGTCCAGTCTGCATCCGCAACCTGCTGAAACTCGACCGCTCTGCGCACAGATGAGGGCAACCCCTCTCGCAAAACTTGAGAGTCGGCACTCCCGTCACGACTGGTTACCCAATCTGGAAACACCTTGGATAACGTGAGGATCCCTTCTGAAGCTTCTGATAATATGGGGCCAGGAGCCCCCTCGCCCAGAGGGCGCAAAGCAAGGGATCAACCCTCCTCAGAGGGGCACGCCTGAGCGAAAACGACAGCAACCTCAAAATCCAGCATTCGAGGGAGAGCGAGGCCATAACGTGAGGGTCGAGAACGAGGACGAGGAGGAGGACAACTCGGTGTTCCTCCCCCCATTGAGCAGGGACCGACCGTCCTGGTATTCTTATAGTCCTACCACGAAATGTTCTAAGAACCCCAAAAATGTTCGAACAACAAGAACAGTGCTCTTAGAACATAAACCAGATGTGACAAAACAAGACAATATCAACCAGAAATGTTCTAAGACTAGTTCGTGGAAAACACAAAACGTTCTCAGGACATTGTTTGGTAGGGCTATAGGCACGCCAGGACGCTTCGCGAAGCCGGCCCGCCCGCCTCGCCACACCGCCACACCGCGGAGGAGGAGGGCGGAGGACGGACGAGGGGGAGGACGAGGAGGAGCAAGAGGAAAACGAGGAGGAGGGAGGAGGAATAGGAGGAGGAGGAGGAGGAGGAGGAGGAGGAGGAGGAGGAGGAGGAGGAGGAGGAGAGGGCGGGGGACGGAGGAGGACGAGGAAGACGGCTCGATGTTGCCCCCGCCCCCCCCCCCTCCCTGGGCCGGCCGCTCGCTATCGTTGCCCCTCGCGCCGCGGGCCTCTGGGCCCGGCCGCGCAACAACCGGCACCCTCCCTGCTGCAACCTGCACTCGAGAGATGGCGCGGAGGCCAGGCGCTCCTCCTCCTCCTCCTCCTCCTCCTCCTCCTCCTCCTCCTCCTCCGCCTCCTCTCCTCCTCCCTCTCCTCCTCCTCCTCCTCCTCCTCCGCCTCCTCCTCCCTCCTCCCTCCTCCTCCTCCCCCTCCTCCTCCTCCTTCCTCCTCTCCTCCTCCTCCTCCCTCCTCCTCCTCCTCTCCTCTCCTCCTCCTCCCCTCCCCCTCCCCCTCCCCCTCCCCGTGCATCCACGCGCCGGTGCCCCGCCGTTTACAGCTGGCACGAGGGCTGAGAACAATCCCAGGCCTCGGAGGGCTGACCTGTTCTTCACCGGGAGGCCCCGCCCGCACCATCGTGCTTGGTGTCTCCATGGGGCCCTCGACCTCTTCTGCGAAGGAGCTCGATCCAGGCTCCTGTGGCCCTGTTTCGGCTGCATGCCCACCACCCCCCCAGAGGCACCCAGAGATCCCCCGTCCATCGTTCCCCCGTCGACCGTTCCCCAGTCAAAGCCGCCCTTCGTCAATCCCTCCCCTCGTTGGTCCTCCCCTGATCTTCTCTGTCGATCTTCCTCCCATCGATCCTCCATGTTCGGTCTCTCTGTCTCGCACCCCATAGATCTCCCTGAGCGACTTCCACCCCCCTCTCTCTTCACTCCCCTCCGCCTCCTGCTCCCCAAACCGAATTCTTCTAATCCGCGTTTTCGTATCCCTCCTGAACCTGTAGGACGCATGCGCGCCTGCAGGAGAAGGCACACCCTGGAAGCGGCCAGGGGGTCTGCACTGGATGGGACCCCAGAAAATCGGCCAGGAGGGGCGATGAAGCCAAATCTGCTCAATATCCGTCTCCTGACCCCTCCCAGGGCCCCATCTGGTGTATTTAATTTAGCCCTGAAAGGTCGTTAAGACCCCCCCACAGGGGGGTAACTAATTAGTATTTCGGCGGCGTGGTTGAAGGACGGGGCTCCCACCGAAAGGGGGCAACTAATTATATTTTCCGAGGCCGACAAAAAAACCTCGAACCTGCCCGCCCTTCCTGCTGGCCGGAACTGGTGCTGGGCCACCTCAGACCACCAGACGGCTTCACGGCCCACCCACCCCTCCCTTGCCATCGCACGGGCG